CCTTCTTGACTTGTTTCTAAATGTTGGAAAGGGTCTTGCATCACAAACCTCATTCCATGTGGTCGTACATTGTACCCATATGAAGACAAATGGACTTGAGGATTAAGCATAGAGTAAGTCAAAGGAATCTCCATATCAATTGGTTGTGTTGTTCTCCAATTTGGAGGCATTCCCCATGGGTATTCCCTAGTAACATTCACTAGCTTAGATTGTGATTAACCTGCAATTTGTCCTATACAAGTGATGGAGTAACTATCATGGCTATTGTAGAATTGACATCTTCATTCAGATGAAGTTGTTCTACTATATTTTTATTCTAATTATGATTATTGGCATTTCCTTGATTTGACGTAAACATAATTCTACCACTTCTAAGTCTCGTATAACATATTTAAGACTAGTTCAATTAGGTTTGACACAAACGAGTTCCATTGAGCATGCCAATTTGTTTTCAGTGGATTTCATTTAGTGGATTCTTTAAGTTCAAAATAGCAAATTCAACTTAAAAATATTCAACAAATTATGATTTTTAAGTAAGATTTGACCATTATAATAAAAAATTTGAATCGAAAGAAATAAAGAATTGGTACATAAATATAGAAAATATATGTATATTAGACTAAAAAGAAAGAAATAATTAGTACAGAAATACATACAAGAATCTCTTGAAACCAGAAGTCATGAGAGAGTGATTGAATGGTATACAAATGTTTATTTAAGTATTTTTAACTCTTAACTCAAGCTTCTATTCGAGTATTTAAAGAGAAAAACTTATGATCGTTCAACATTAATCTTACACATTATAATCTTAATAATTGCTAAAAATTAAAAATAACTTTTCTAACTTCGAGCCTTTCGATGCTCAAAACTTCCTTAGTTGATCACTCTAGATTTTTGTTGTCCTTTTTAAACTTTCTTTGAGCAACCCTTTTTCAATTCCTTTCTCCAAATATGTTGAAAATTTGTGAATAACAAAGTTGTAGCAACTTTTTGACTTTAGTATGCAATAAAATATGTTGAAAGGAAAATATTAACCTTGTGCACATTCACAATCCTTAATAAAGATTAGTCATCAGTTTTATTTACACTAATACTATGGGTAAAAAATAAAATAAAAGATTTTTTCTTTTAAAAATATTTATATTAAATAAAAAAAATTGCTTATATGATTAAAGTGTTTGATACATTGCGTCTTCATTATAGAGTGGAACACCAAATATTTTTAGAATGAAGAGGCAACATATAAAACACGAGGTAAGCATTTAAAACACTATGGGTCCCTAATTTCTCATATTTAATTTATTATTTAAAAATTAAGATTTTCATAAATTTTACACCAGAGGCATTTGGTACACATGAAATTTTTACATGCACGGGAAGCGTGATTAAGAAGAATTATAAGTATTGAGAATCATGATTCTTGGAAATGATAAAAATTTGTTTGTTTGGTCATAAATTTTACCTAGAAATCAAATATTTTTATTGTATTAAATAAAAAAATAAAAATAAAAATTTGCATATTTTTAAAGATTTTTATTACATTAAATTGGCAAATAAAAGTAACATTAAATTTTTACCTGAATAAAATTTTTCATTTAACTCATATACCCATAGATATTTGAGAAAATGCAAAATTTTAAATAAAAATATAAGAAATAAAATAAAACTAAAATTAAATAATTTTATAACATATATTTATATTAAAAAAATAATTTTATAATATATATTTATATTAAAAAAATAATTTTATAACATATATTTATAATAAAATAAATAATTATGAAACATATATTTAGTATAAAAATAAATTAAATTCAACCATTTAATATATAATTAAAAGTATTTTTAATATTTTTAAAGTAAAGATACCCACAGATATAAATATCTTACTATTTGTTTTCACCTCATTATTAAATAGATATCTATTTAATTATTCATTTTAAATTTATAAAATATTTTATTGACAAACATTCTCAAATTAAATAAAGTTTTAATGTTGTAAAATACAAAATATCTTTATTAACTTATTTAATATAATAAAAGTCTTTAATTTTTAAATAATATTTTTAAATTTGTTTATGATCAACTAAATATATTTTTGTCATTCATAACTATAAGAATCATGTTTCTCAATTATGAAAAAATAATTATCTACAAAAGTCACATAAAAAAGAAAATATCAAGTACCACATCAACTTATCTTATTGTTAAAGACATTATATTGGTGTTAAAATATTATAAGATTAACATGAAAAATATTGATCCAAATCAAATGTTGATGATAGAATGTCATATTTTAAAATTTTACTATTACTTTCTTTTATTACAACCATAAATTCTTTTTTTATTTTTTATTTTATTTTTAACAAACTAAATTAACTTAACCTACATATACAAAAAAGAGAAGAGATCAAATTATTACACTCAATAATTCATGGTATATGTTGAATATCGATAATCTAACCGTTAAATTAACTATATATATACATATATATATATTAAATCATACAATACTTCGTTATATAGATTCAAATCAATGTATAAAATATTTTTATATTTTTATATACAACGAAGATATTTTGTTATAATTCAATTTAATAGTGAATTTTGAGAAAATACTATCAAATAGAAACTTATTGAATAATGTAATAGTTATAAAAGTTTTTTTTAAAACAAATAATAGTTATAAAAGTTATACAGATGTGTAATTTGTGTGTGTATACATACATACATACATACATGAT